CCCTAATATCCTTCCCGCCATTGCCTGCCTCTGTGTACTGACTCTGGGGTTCCTTGGTGGTGGTCTCCCGTCCAAGTACTAACCAGGGCCGACCCTGCTTAGCATCCGAGAGCTGATGTGATCTGGCTAGCCTGAGCTATCCACACCAGGGCATGATGCCTGTGGAAACTCACAAATGGAATTTGTAGTTGGGCATTCAGACTGCCTCTGAGGTTCCACTGAGCTGTCTCGGCTCATACCTGTTGATGGGCGACAATCTGTAGTCACGCAGGCCACTCCACGCCTTTTTCTTTCTCCTGCGGTCCATTTATTTACAAAGTCTGTGCAGTTTGGTGTAGTGGTGAAGTGTGCAGACTCTAATCTGGGAGAACCGGGTTTGATTCCCCACTCCTCCACTTGCACCTGCTGATGTGACCTTGGGTCAGTCACAAGCTCTGGCACAGCTGTCCTTGAAAAAGAGCAGTTTGTGTCAGAGTTCTCTCAGCCCCACCCACCTCACAGGGTGTCTGTTGTGGGGAGGGGGAGGGAAAGGAGTTTGTAAGCCGCTCTGAGACTCCAAGTGAAGGGCGGGGTATAAATCCAATCTCTTCTTCTTCTTCTTCTTCTTCTAATTGAAATCAGATTTTTAAAATATGCACACCAGCGGGGCAGAAGGGCTGCGGCGTATGGGAATTCGGCCCTAACTCCTGAGTAGCAGGTTTCCAATGTGAAATAGAACGGAGCTTCTTGATGTCGTCGTGCTGGTTTCAGATTCCGTCGATGGCCGTATAAACACAAAGGTTAATTTGTAACTGCGTTTCAACCTTCCTGCGCTTTGCCTGTGACGTTAGTCCTTTCCTCTTCCCTGAATTTGTGTAAACCTTTTTAAAAACTTCAGATCAGTGACCAGGAGGGAAGACAGTATCGTTTAGCCCAGTCTCTTCAGTTCTTGGAAGCTAACCAGGGTTGGTGCTTGGATGGGGGACTGCTAAGGCAGGCTCTGCAGAGGAAGGCAATGGCCAACCGCCTCTGCTTCTCACTTGCCTCGAAAGGCCGACGCTGGGGTCTCCAAAAGTCAGTTGCAGCCTGACATCACCGTAATGTACATAAACCAGTGACCATCCTGTGCTACCGAGTGCCCCGAGCTAGTTATTGGAAAAGTTTGTTGTTATTCTGTGGTTATTTTACTTCACTGTAGCTCACTGAGGGGGCTGCTGTGGTTCAGAGGTTAAGACGCTGAGCTGCAGACCAGAAGGCCAGTAGTTCGGCAGTTCGAGACCCGAGTGCCACGTGACGGAGTGAACTCCCGTCCCTGGTCCCAGCTCCTGCCAACCTAGCAGTTCGAAAGCAATAAATTGCAAGTAGATAAATAGGTACTGCTTCGGTGGGAAGGTAACAGCATTCCATGCGCCTTGGCATTTAGTCATGCCGGCCACATGACCACGGAAAAGTATTCGGACAGCGCTGGCTCTTTGGCTTGGAAACGGAGATGAGCACTGCCCCCTAGAGTTGGATTTGGCTAGCTTTCGAGCAAGGGAAACCTTTACCTAGCCCACTGAGACTCAAGATGGATTACGGAGCTAAGAAAGATAGAGACTAATGTAGTCATGATGACATCCCGTCCCTCATCGGTTGCAATTGCACGCACCTTTGGGAGTGCCTTCCACTGAACTCAGTGAGACTGACTTCCAAGTCAACATAAGAACATAAGAGAACATAAGAGAAGCCAGTGTTGGATCAGGCCAATGGCCCATCCAGTCCAACACTCTGTCGCACAGTATTATGAGAAAGGGAGAAAAGTACCTCTTTCTCTACCTGCTCTTTCCCACGCATAATCTTGTAAACCTCGATCTTGTCACCCCTTAGTCGCCGTTTCTCCAAGCTAAAGAGCCCGGAAGCGTTTTAACCTTTCTTCACAGGGAAAGTGTTCCAACCCTTTTATCATTCTAGCTGCCCTTTTCTGCGCTTTTCCCAGTGCTATCATATCCTTTCTGAGGTGTTGCATCGAGAATTGGTGGGAGCCACCCCAGAAATATGCTGGTCAGTGGGCAGAGGTTCGTTGCTGTCCTCCTTTTTCTGGAACTGAGAATCCTCCCCCAGCCCTTCAGCATTCCTGTCCTTGGTTGTATTTAAGCAGCCCTGACTTTGCCTAGTTCTGTGATTTCCTATGATATTCGAGGCGGGGTGGCCAAGAACGGAACAGGATATTTGAAACATAGCCCAAGGTTTATGCAATGGCATTACGAGTCTTGCAATTTTCCTTCCAGTATCTGTCCTAATCTCCTGCCAACCTAGCAGTTCGAAAGCAAGAAATTGCAAGTAGAGAAATAGGGACCACTTTGGTGGGAAGGTAACAGTGTTCCGTGCGCCTCGGCATCTAGTCATGCCGGCCACATGACCACGGAAACGTCTTCGGACAGCGCTGGCTCTTCGGCTTTGAAACGGAGATGAGCACCGCAACCCTAGAGTCGGATTCGACTGGCTTTCGAGCAAGGGAACCTTTACCTTTTTATCTGTCCTAATGATTTCCAGCAAAGGGTAGCCTTTTTTCAGCCAAATCAACGCTTTGTGTTCCCGTGCTGGGTTCCCACGCTGCAGGGGCATACGTGTGAATAACTGTCACATGACTGAGTGGGCAGGACCGCTTGCGTAACTCTTTAACTTGCCCAGTTTGCTTCTGCTGCATATTGGGTTGACAGTTTCAGTAACCTTCTCGCCACATGACCTCAAGATCGGCTGAGACCCCACTAGCAGCTCTGTAAAATGCCATTTTTTCCCCTTTGTCCCAAATGTGCAACACTTTGAACGCACACGAACAAACATGAAGTTGCCTCGTACTCAATCAGGCTCTTGGTCCATCACAGTATTGTCTACTCAGACTGGCAGAGTCACTGTAGGGTCTCAGGCGGAGGTCTTTCACATCACCTGCTATTGGGTGCTTTGAATTGAAGATGCCCAGGGCTTTTTTTGTAGAAAAAGCCCAGCAGGAACTCATTAGCATAATAGGCCACACCCAACAGCAGGAACTTATTAGCATAATAGACCACACCCCTGAAAGTGCAGCTTATTAGCATATTAGCACACCCCATGCCTTCCCTTCACTTGCCCAGGCGCCCCACGTCTGTGGAGAGCCCAGGCAAGCCGGCCCTTGGACAGGCCAGGGTAGGCA